AAATAAGTGTTACCATGTTAGAGCCTCGATAGGGAACTATTTATGTGACCTTTACTGCTTAACTGATCTATATAAGATGGCACGTTGCATGTTGCTCCTGTGCTTACTGATACGACATATGTGAATCATTTGGGGAGTGCTTTAGTACAACTGACTTTGGAAAGCCCTGAATGCCAAGCATTCCACTTTTGGCTTGTAAACTTTTTCTAATTTAAAGCAGAGGGGCATGTAATGAACACGATATTTATGAATCTGTGATGTGTTCCAGGTACCTCGTTGTCAATTAATGGCATAAAAGCAGGGTCCATTTCAGTAAATCTTTCACATTTGGTAGGGGGCAAGAATTCTAGCCAGAATGTAAATTTAGGTCTCACAAATTGTAGCTATCTGTCGAGTACATAAAAAAAAAAAGCGAAACACGTTAGGAGTAAATCTTAAGGGAAAGTGGCTTTGCCAATAGAGGCATAGAAGTTGAGGGGTTGCTCTCAAATACAGAGGAGTTAAACGTCAACTACTCCAAATTATTTTCTTGATTATTGTCTAGTAGCCCTTCATCCTGGTTTTCTCTGCCCTCCATAGCATAATTAATCACCGATTTGGTTCTCTCTTTTTTGTGCAAATTTATTTGTTCATTTACTTTATACTCGTCCCTATGGTCAAAAGCTAGCTGGAAACTAGGTTAAGAAATTTGAATTTCCAATCAAAACTGACTGTTTTAGAACGTCGCCATCCCTTCACTTTTCCCACACTCCTTTCCTTTACTTGAATTTTCCTCTCTGATTAGCACTGGTTTTACTTTTGTCAAAATCTACTTTAAATTGAAGTGGATATAATCAAATTCATTGTCAAAGTCTAAATGCAAAGTCACTGCTTAAATTCCTTCATTTAGCATTTTTCGTTAATGAAATCAATTTTGATCTTATTATATGCATATGTACGGATACATTGTCTCTCACGGTTCATGTCTGTGACTTGTACTGATATAAATAATTCACATCTATGGTGACTATTAAATTAAGTGATTACCTGCAGTAGAAGAATGATTCTTGGCCTTTTTTTATCTCTCAAATAAGCCATTCTTAAATTATTTTGTTAAGTTTAGTTCATACTTCACAGTGTTATGCAAAATCTAAAATTAGTCTTATTATTTATGGTTTCTAATTAGTTACTATAATTTCAGATATGTTTTAATTTTGACATTGATATATTGATCATGCCCTAAAAGCAGTTTATTAATTCGCGATAAGCATGGATTCGAGAGGGGAAAAAAATTAAGTGGGACGTACCGTAGTGCTTATAAATCCATAGAAAGTAGTTGTCAAAAAAAAAATCCATAGAAAGTATGTGGTTTGGTGATGGATTTTTAACATGCTGGTTTAATTTTAATCCAGGGGTCAACCTTGTTCTAGTCCAGTTAATGGGATGGATTAATGCGAATTTTTAATTGCTGGTTTCTCATCATGTTTCGCTTATAATATGTTGTCTTCACTTGCTTTCATGTTTTTTTTTTTTACAATACTCAAATCCTGCATACTGGTCGTTGAAGCACACAGCATAAAACAAAACACAATAGAGCACCTTTGAAAAATATGAACAAATGACGAATTGAAAGGTTGTATTTTTTTAGCGAACGATACTCCATATTGTTAATTATAATTTAAATAAAATTATATAGTTGACCAAATATACATAGTTAATTTTTTTCTGATAATATTATTATTACTACCACTGTATAAAGTCGGACAGGGGGCGAATAATAATGTGTGCATGTAGCCGAGCCACGTGGATCAGGGGATAAGGTGGGGGCACCAGCCTGCGGGATGGGGAAGCAAATCCCCCACGTTTTTATATATTTAGGACGTCACTTCAATAACGTACGAGACAATAATAATCAATCAGAATAACGACACGTATCAGTAGCCGTTGGATTGAATAGTACTCCTCCGGTCTTAATATAAGACCCATTTAACTAGTTTGATTAGATTAAGGAAGTTAGGTAAGTTAGTTAATTATAAAAAAAGTGACACATTTTTCCTAAAACACCATAATCATCTTTCTTAATACCTCATCTCCCTCTTTCACTTGATTATGGTTGAGAGAGCATCATAGGGGTAATTTAGAGAAAACTGATAAATATGAGAAATGGGTCTTATATTTAGGACCAAAACTAACTCAACAATTTGGTCTTATATTAAGGACCGGAGTAGTATTTGGAATGACAAATCCCTCTTCAAACAAGCATCTATTTCTCCAGTTCCATAGCATCCAACAAGTGATCCCAAAAGTAATCACTTCTTTCTTATTCCTCCTCCCAAGATTTCATCTAAACCAATCACGATTTTGTAGTAAGTAAAATTCTGAATTAAGGTTTTCTTCTCCTAGCCGTTCCCAAATCATCCTTGCAACATAGCAATCCCTCATAACATGCATTAGAGATTCTTCTTCTTCACTGCATCTAAAACAACTAGCATTTCCTCCCAATATTCTACTTCTTCTTTTTGCTGTGAGTAACCGGTTGTGAGTTGCTAGCCATAACAAAACTTGCACTCTTCTAGGTCCCTTCCAATGCCAAATTCTATTCCACAATATATCCTTCACTCCTCCTTCTTGTTTCAGTTTGTTATACATATCAGCAACAACGTATTTATTTTGGAGTGATGAACCCCATTTAACAACGTCACTACCATATATATTCTTTGGTGGTGGTACTGCAAGAATTAATCTCATATCCTCCTCAAACAACATACCTTCCAGCTTCAACCAATCCCAATTTCCATCAACATTAACCATTTCACTAGCCTTACAATTTGAAAGCTCCTCACTTAATTGCATATTACATCTGTCTATTAGTCTTCTGCCCTCCTCAACCCAACAATCCTTCCAAAAATGCACTTCCCTTCCATTATTTATTTCCCATACCACACTACTAGTTAACTGAGGCCATAAGCGAGCAAGATTTTTCCAGATTCATAATCTGTAGTCTTTACAACACATTCCCTTCTTAAATTGACACTCCTACCATATTTTCCACTTAAGACCTTTGAGCATAGATTATCTAGTTTTGCAATTAGATTCCACCCAATCCTTCCCAAGAGCGCATCATTCATTACTGTCATATATTTCAATCCATAACCTCCTTTCTCCTTTGAAGTGCATAAAACATCCCAACTCACTACATTCTTTTTGTTCTCATTATTGTTCCATATAAAATCTCTTTGGATCTTCTCTCATTTTTGCTTCACACCCACCGGAATGTGAGAATGTTGCATATGAAAAACAGCCATTTGATTAGTGATAGATTGCACCAAAGTAAGTCTACTGGCTAAGGAAAGATTCTGTTTCTTCCATCCACTAAGCTTGCTTTGCATTCTATGTACAAGGAACTGAAATATTATTATTACTACCACTATATAAAGTAGGACAGGTGCGAATAATAATGTGTCTATGTAGCCGAGCCACGTGGATCAGGGGATAAGGTGGGGGCACCAGCCTGCGGGATGGGAAGCAAAATAACGTGTACTCCTCTGGTCCTATTTATAGGCACTTCCAGCATATTTTATACAGACCAATAAAAACCTTAAACTGTAATAATTCTGTCTTAAAACATAACAATTTTCCAATTTTACCTCTGTATAATACTTTGAAAATAAAAAGAATAAAACTATTGAATGATGGGTGGAAGGAATTACTCGTAAATAGCATTGCATCGTGCACAGATAAGCACCGAACTTAAATGCCACATGGCCCTTCATCAACCAATCATTTTAAAAGATAGTGCTGCCCACGGATCGGAACAGGTGAATAAAAAGACAGACAGAGGGAGTGGAAGAGATGAATAGAGAGAGAGAGAGAGAAAGCCACAGGAAAAGTCGGGAATAATGGCATAGGAAGAAGACAAAATTAAAGCATACAGTAAGTATTTAGCATTGGAAAGAGGAACGAAGAAAATGTACGAAGTCTTCAGAAGAAAATGTGCCAGCAATTTAATAAGGGCAATTCTGTACATCCATCTGAAAAATTACATCAGGTGCCCAATATATAGGACCAAAATTTACACTCTCTCTTCCCTATATAAAGGACCAGAGGAGTATGTACTATGTAGTGTGGACCCGACGAAAATCCCCACGTTTTTATATATTTAGGACGTCACTTCAATAACGTACGAGACAATAATAATCAATCAGAATAACGACACGTATCAGTAGCCGTTGGATTGAATAGTATTTGGAATGAAAATTGAATTCTCCAAAATCAACATTTCAATTGTAGTAGTAACCATGCAAGAAAAATTTTATCCCAATGTATCTGAAAGAAGTTATAAGTGTTTCTAAGTAACTCCAAAGAAGCAAAAAAGACTCATCATCAATAATAGCCCAAAACGCTTCTGCGGCAGGGCAAATCTCTATTTCTTTTCCTTCTTTTGGAAAAGGGTTAGAAAATGTTGATGAACAAATATTCACCATTGAATCTATACATTATAAATATATTAGTTATAATTAAGTTGTATGAAATGAGAGAGATATCCATGGTCGATGAGATGTAGCACCTGAAGAGATTTGTTTTTGGACGAGTTGAAGTCATTTGGACGACGCAAGGAAGTTTATGGCGTTATGGCCCTGGGAGAAGGAAAAAGACGCCTCACGTGGGTACTATGATACATGATATACTGGTTTTTAATATAAGAGTTTGTTGATTTATTTGAGTAAATTAAGAAAATTAGTTAAATTAATTATTTATAATAAATATGTATTATCTTTCATAAAATGACTTTGTTAATCATATATATTGGTTAAAACTAGTATTTGATAATGAAACTTTTAAAATGTGTAATTACTAAAAGAACTATTTTAAAATTTTTTTATAAATATAAAAAATAAAATAAATTGAAATTTTATATTTATGATAAATTTTCCAAGCCTTGGATGTGGTCCTGATCACCACGTAAATCGACCAACTCCATAGAATTACCACACACGTAGGTAATTACTAATTATCTCTAATTAATGACCTGCCTCCACCGGAATACTGTGCAACACTACCGTCTCCACCGTTACACCCGGCCCAAACCCGAACAAGACTCCCCATTCTTGTCCTTCTCCGGTGGTTGCTTTTCCTTCCCTCAACGACTTCTTCCTCATCTCGTCCAGTACGAACAAAACCGACGTGCTCCACATATTTCCATACTCAGTCAAGATGTGCCTCGTCGTTTGCAGCTTCTCCTCCTTGAGCCCTAAGCTGGCCTCCACCTTATCCAGAATGGCCCATCCACCCGGGTGGACGACCCAAAATATGGAGTTCCAGTCGTCGATGCCGATGGGTGTCATGGCTTCCACCAAGCACTTCTCGATATTCTCCGAGATGATGCCTGGCAACGTTTTTAGCAATTGGACCATGAGGCCCGCCTCTCGCAAGTGTCCTTCAACGGCTCCCTCTGAGTCTGGTAGCAGGGTTTGTGCTGCGGATACCAGTTGGAAAATGGGACGCTCCACGGAGGTGTCCGGGTCGGCGCCTATGATCATCGCGGCTGCACCGTCACCAAACAAGGCTTGGCCTAAGAGGGCCCCGAGGTGGGTGTCGGAGGGACCGTGGAAACAAACTGCAGTGATCTCAGAGCAGACAACGAGAATACGTGCACCCCTGTTGTTCTCAGCCAAGTCCTTGGCGACGCGGAGGACGGTGCCGCCGGCATAGCAGCCTTGTTGGTACATCATGAGACGCCTAACGGAGGGTCGGAGGCCAAGAAGCTTGATCAGCTGGTAATCGGCGCCGGGCATGTCGACGCTGCAAGAGGTATAGAAGATAAGGTGGGTGATCTCTGACTTGGGTCTGCCCCATTCCTTGATAGCCTCGACGGCGGCTTCTTTTCCGAGCTTCGGCACCTCCACCACCGTTAAATCTTGACGAACATCAAGCGACGGAGCCATGTCAGTACACATGTTGGGATTCTCCTTCAGAAACTCCTCGGTCAAGTGGATGTAACGCTTCTTGATCATCGATTTTTCACCTGAACAAATCGTTATATATATATTCATGAAACCAAATCAAATGTACGTAAAACGTAATGAAAGAAGGAAGAGGTACGTACACATGCGCTTGAATTTTTGTTTAAGGTGGGTCATGTGGCCACAGTTGGTGATGCGGAAGTAGTAGTCGGGGTAATCGGCTTGGTTGATGCAGTTAGCAGGTGTGGCGGTGCCGATGGCCAAGATGGTGGCGGTGCCGCAGGAGCGTTGGGAGTTGCGGATTTCGTGGACGCTGGCCATGTTTTTCATTCGAAGATGTGGAGTGTATATGAACAAGAGGCGTTGGTATTTACAAGTGAGGGGCAAAGTAAGAGGTGAGATATATGTGGCCAATAGAAGTGAAGCATGCCAGATAGTTGCCGACACGAGAGAGAGAGAGAGAGAGAGAGAGATTATGAAAAATCCAACAAAAGAAACCTTTACAATGTATCCAAAAAATGCAAATTAGGATGCTGAATTTGCATAATATCCTATAAGGGTGGGTAGACGAATTTATAATATTAAAATATTGGTAAAAGATGCTATTGCTCTTAAAAAATAAAAGTGAATGGCAACAATTTTTTAGGTATTGTCTAAAACAAATAAATCATTAACAAAAATCGATGCATCAATAACAATTTTTTCACACTTAGGTAAAATTAAAGTCCTAAAGCTTAAAGGTAGATGTTAATAATTATTCCAATGTGACCTAAAAAAAAAAGCTGTTAAGAAAAGTTATTTCTCTAATAACAATTTTTATGAACAGTTTAACTTGGATAAAATTGAAGTCTTAAAATATGAAAGTAATTGACAACAATTTTTCAGGTATTACATCTCCTCCTTCCCATACGTTCTCCCAGCCTCACCGTTCCTTCCCACTTCTTCATAACAAATCACGTATGGTTTCGGAATTAAAAATCTGAGAATGGCTGACATCGACGCCGAACCAGTAGAAGAACCGCGTGGCTTTCCAGATGCTTAGTTTTTATTTGGTGAACTAGGACGCTTGTGGGTTTCAAAACCATTCTTTCAATATTTATCCTCTGATTTTCCCCTGTTGAGTTCTTTAGCCTTAGGGGAAGGTTGTGCATGTGAATATAAAGGATGAAAACTAAGGATTAATTTCAAATACATTTATAGAATTTTGAGGGATAGAGGCTGAAACATTCAGTAAGGAGATAATGATGATGATGATGATGATGATAGTAATAATAATAATAATAAGCATCTGAAGGACATGGTGTATAATGGGGAAGGCAGCTCCAAACACGTGGGGAAGGTGAACAAGATACTTAATGAGGGGTGGGAGGTGAAAGTGAGACACGTGCTCAGAGAAGGGAACTTCGTGGCAGATCAGCTAGCTAAGATGAGCCTAAGTCACAATCTTGGTTCATACTGGCTGGAAAGTCCTCCTGCTGATATTGTGTTTTGGCTTGATAGGATAGATTGGACAGATCTTGCCCCCGTCATATTCAGTTTTAATTTGTTTGGGATTTGGCCCCCCTTTCTCCAACAACAAAAAAATAATAATAATAATAAGCATGATGTTCCCCTTTGTAAAGCTGAGGGATCTGAAAGTCACAGTAAGGAAACATAATAATCAACATGATTTTCTCCTCTTGCTTTCTCATCCTTGCCGAAGAAGGATCCCAGAAATTACCGTAAAAAGAAGATTAAATTTTAAAAAAATTTTCCCTCAGTTGAGGATGTAAATTTTGAAATCAAGGTAGAAAATAAAAGCTTCTGATAATGGGTTCCATCAGGGGCAGGTGGTGCTGCACCCTCTACGTAATTTTCGGAACGAGATGGGGGGGGCCTGGTTTAGAGCCAAAAATATGGGTTGGACCCGCCAATCCGTCACCACTTGAAAAATATGAGCCCATTTCGCTACAGCTTGAGCCCGCCGCGAGTTGGCCCACAGGTTAGCAGGTTCAACCCCCCTAATTTTTTTTAATACTCCTCCGATCCTTAATATAAAACTCATTTAACTAATTTGATTATATTTAAAAAGTTAGGTAAGTTAGTTAATTATAAGAAAAGTAACACATTTTTCCTAAAACACGATAATCATCTTTCTTAATACCCTTTCTCCCTCTTCTACTTGATTATAGTTGAGGGAGTATCCACAGGGGTAATTTAGAGAAAATTGATAAATATGAGAAATAGGTCTTATATTCAAGACCAAGACCAACTCAAGAATTGGGTCTTATATTAAGGACCAGAGGAGTATATTAAAATATTAGGAGGAGGTGGATTGGAATTTTGGAAAGGCAAGAAAGCTGAAGTCCTACTAGCTACTACTGTCAAAATCAATATTAAGCCAGCTTCAAATGTCATCACCATTAGAGATAATTAGATCAAGATGGTTATTCATTGTTGCATGTTAATTTTATTGGAAAAATTTATATTTGAACTTGTGTTTTTATCATGTTTGGAGTTTGGATTTTAGACAATCATATATTTTGTATTTTAATGTGTTGTAATTTTATTTGAATGCTTGGAATAATTTAAATCATTTCTGATTTCTTTTAATTTCTGATTATTTATAAGGAAATTTTTTTTTAAAAAAATCTGGCGAGTTAGAGTTGGCAAAATACCAGCCTGCCAAAAAATGAGCCTTTTGAGCTCCACCCGTATGACCCACAGCCCGCCATGAGGTGCAGGTTGGCCTGTTTTACCAGCCTTAGCCTGGTTTTTAAGAGTTGCGCATGAGAAGGGATATTAGCATCAAATAGCAGACCACAACAAAGCAAAGAGAGGAGTAGAAACCAAAACGAGAAGGTGATGTGGTGGGGAAGGAGAGAATGTAACAGAAATTTTTAGCTGTGTTGGTTCTTATTTAACGGTAAGAACTAATGAATCTAATAGTAGAAAGTTAAAGCACTCAATAAAAAGAAAAATAAATATAAGGACCTCATCTAAAACTAAGGAAAACTAGAAGGACTCCTAAATTAATTTTCTCTTAGATAAAACAATATGTTATTATTATTTTATTTATTTATCTCACTCCATAAGTAGAATGGTAAATACAAAGTTAGCTACAGCTAATTTTCATCCTGTTCCAAAGCACTCATTTAACATGGCATTTTTGCCAAATTGACTTCTCAATGAGGCTACGCCGACACTTCTTTTGCATTTTTTTTGGGCTAAAGTATAAGTATCTTTTTATTGGAGGTAATTTTATTTGAGACACTGTCGGGCACTAAATATAGATATTTCTTTTAGTAAGAGTTCAAATCTGGATCCACTATATTATAAGAAACTAGCTTCTTCTATTAGACTTTCCTCAAAATGATGCTTGATTCAATGGGGTTTTCCGATTGTTTTGCTCATCCCGTTTTGGGCTTGTAACTGGGCTCTGTTGCTATGGTTTTCTTTTATTTTGTGTAGGCTTTACACGTGTTTACTTTATTTGTCTAGACCCAATTGGAAAATATTTTAATAAAATCAACGTATATTTTTTTTATAAATAACTGCCTAGTTTAATTCTCTTAATTTGTATGAGTCAATTATCAAAATATTAATCATCATGAATAGTATAAATTATTTGAGATTATCTCGAAACTTCCATGTGGGTATCCTGTCTTGAAAATGAGTGGCTTTAAGTGAAACACCCATGCATGGGCAACAATTATTGTGGGAGCCGCTTTCCTCCTCTGCTTTCACCGTTCACTTCCCCTCCTCTACCCAAAACTGTGCCGTTTTGGGTGTCAAATTGGGCGGGACTGACCACTTTTTTATTTATTTTTAAGTAGCACTCACTGTTTTAAAATAATTTTTAGCATACCTGGTGGTTAAAAATATTTTCTTAGTAGTATTCAGTATCTAGCAAGTTGCACTCTGAACTATTTTTCTAGCAACACCTAGTATCCTAAAAATTAAAGGCTGACCACTTTTTTTTTTAAGCTAATATTTATCATTCTAAAGTATTTTTCTAATAGCATCAAGTACCTTAAAATAATTTTTAGTGCAGTTAACATTTTAAAATATCTTTCTAGCAATTTTGAAGTATTTGTCAGTGGCATCTAATATCTTAAAATAATTTGTAGTGTAGTTAACATTTTAAAATATCTTTCTAGTAATACCCAATATCTTGCAAGTTGGACATACAGTATTTTCTAAGTAGCACACAAAGGATATTGGGTGTTATTACCAAAAAACAATATAGAGTACTTGATACACTAAAAATTAATTTAAAATAGTGTGCTATTGAAAAAATAGTTTAGAATGTAGCTTGCTAGATACTAAACACTATTACAAAATATTTTTAGGTGTTAGGTGCACTAAAAATATTTTAAGATACTGAATATTATTATTATTTTTTTAAAAAAAGACCAGTCTCCCATTTTAAAACCCAAAACGGCACAGTTTTGGCTAGCGGAGGGGAAGTGAACAGTAGAAGTAGAGGAGGAAAGCCTCTCCCACCAATTATTGTAAACTGGTAATTTAATGCTCGAAATAGTGTAGATGAATGAATATGATACATCGATTTTGTATGGGCTGACTATAGTGGATCAGACTCGGTCCATAAAGCCCAAAACATGTCTGACTGGCTGGCCCATTAATAATGCGCATGTCGTTTTCGTAATATCTCAGCTGCCGTACTCAGATGAGATTCTGAAAATTCTTCATCTCCTAATTATCTGTCCCATCATTGGCATCCTGAATCTGCCAACCAAACCGGGCCTGGAAGAATTTCTACAGGTCAAAAACCTACTCCCGTCTCTCATCTTTAACATAACCACGGCTTAAGTAAATCAAGAAAATTAAATAAATTATTTGATTCTAATAAAATTAAAATGATTTTTTTAGCTAAAATATCTTTATGTGATGTCATATTGTGTATCTGTTTATAAATTAGACGAATTAATTTTAAAAACTGATAAATATGAACAATAAATAACTAAATTCTTGCATGTATGATCATGAGATTCATGACTAATTCTCTATTATATTCGAACAAAAAAAAAAAACTCACCTTGGGCGTCCTTCTATAGTTGTTTTGCCTTCTCTTTTCGTGTAAGTCAGGGCATCTATTCTTGTTCACATCATTTTTTTTTTTTTTTTGCTAATTGATCTGTTCGTTTACTTTATCCCCGTCCCTACGCTATTGGACGCGAGGGGAAATGCTGGAAAACAAGTTAAGAAATTTCAATTTCCAATTGAAACTGACCAAAATTGACTGTTTTAGAACGTCCCCACCACTTTTACTTTTCTCACACACCTTTTCTTTCCCTTGAATTTTCTTCAATCTCTGATTAGCGTTGGTTTCTCCTTTGTC